CGTATTTTATTAATGCTAATAAAATTATACTCCTCCCGGACCGTTCATTATCCGAAATAAGTGCTCAACTCGAAAATTCGCAACTCGGCGTAGGGTCACTACAGTGCAGTCACTGTCGAGACCCCACAGCTTGATATCTAACTTTCTGTACCAAAGGGATACAAAACTTGTTAACAATACCTGACAGTCGATTGTTGTTGTCCTTGAGACCCTTCCTGCTGCTCCTTGCACTGCTTTCCGGATCAGTCTTTCGCTCTAACCCCGAGACCCTTCCGGATTGAGCGCAAATTGCATAAACGTACTTAAATACTCAAACAATTCTATTGTGCAGGCACCAGAAAAGGGCCACAATTTCGATCGCAACGATCCTGGTTGGTTTTGCCTGTAATGCCTGTAACAACACTATATCTAACAACAACACACATCTCGTCTGGGGGGATGATTTCTACTGATTTTATATATTTTTTTTACTGTTTTTGGTTATTTTTTATGATTTTGGTTTTTTCTTAGGCACCATACTACTTTTTGTTTGGTTTCTAGTATACCTGATAGTGTTTTTGATCATATATCGCTCAACGATACGTGAATTTTTTGTCTTAAATAGGTTAAAAAACTAAATCCGGGAATCCGGAAGGCTTCCGCGTTCCGTACCACCCTTCCGGCTCCACTTTTAGTGCCTTATTTTGAGCATCAGCTCGGCGAGGAGTGCTTCATAATGGATCTGCCGGTCATGATGTTAAACGAATAACATCCAGGATGCTCTAAAAACATATATGTAACAATACCCAGAAACACATACCGACGGAAAACAAAGCTATATTTTGAAACGACTGGCTAGCCTCTAAACACAGCTTTACATGCTTTTAACTGTCTCTACCAAAAACAGTTCTATGTGTGGTCGTTCGAAGTCGTTATTATTTAAAGCTATCGGCCAGATCGCGCAAACTAACTTAGTTACATGCAAAAATAGTAGGCCAATGGCCTGGTCTCAGTATACCCAGACCACGAGGTCGCTCCTAAAATCAAGGCTACTACTGCTTATCATATTACGATTGTTTTTGATCAGTAGATAAAACTCATCATATCCATCGGAGATGGATCGACCCTTTCCCTCAAGTCCTAGCTTCTCTTATTCTGAAAAAAGAAAAAGATGTTGATTAAATTAAACTCAGGGCATTTCCAGAAGCTAAAAATTGTTTGAAAACCAGTTGCAGTCTCCTCTTAAGAACTTTCCCGATTCTTAAATCAGGTCGAAGAGCGGTCTTGTTGCGGTCCAGAAAGGGTAATAAAAGCTTCCTATTACCCCCCCCCCACCCCGAGTTCTCGTTAACTGCTCCGTAACGGTTGTAGACGTATAGTCTCAGCTGTAATTTCAATATAGTTTTCTTTCTTTTTTTCACTGTCGAGAATCGTTGTTGTTTTAACTAGCGAAAATCGTTCTTCTGGTTTTCGCGCATTTTCAGTTACTGCAAAATTTCAAAGTCGTCACGTGTCTTTATTTTCGAACGAATTTTTAAAAAGTACTTCGTCACTGCAAATTGACTTCTCCCAATTTGTCAAATTGAACAATTAACACTGTTAAATTATCGAAAATGCCAATTTTCTCACTCGGCTGCTGCAAATAAAATTACGTTGTTGACATGGATTTTGGCCGTGGTTCTGATCGAATGTCACAATCCTCTTCCCAGATATCGTTCAAGTCATCCACCCTGGGTCCAGGCACTGCTCCCCACATGTTTTAAGGCATTGGTGCAAATGATTGACATTGTACCAGTCGTACACACTTGGATACCGAAAAGGCCTTGTCGATCATCTCCCTCTTGCTGGACACTCCCACCAACGTCATGTGCAATGGATCCCGCAAAAGTTCGCCAACACTGATCCCTCAGGAATTTCGTATTCACCGGCCAACTATAAGCTTCGCTGGGAATCCCATTTCTGCTTTTTTTAATAAACCTTCCAACCATTGATGTCTCTCTGGATCATCTGCAACACTCCTGGCCAGTACTCCACACTCAATGCCTCGACCAATTGATGTTGAGACTCCAACGTCTCTAGCGACTCTAGGCTAGACACTTTCGAGAAGAATCCTAGTGCCGTTGCCAAGTTAACTGTTGTGTTTGCGTAGCAATGAGCTAGAATTTGCACATCACTTTTCTCCTTTGTTTGACATCACCAATTCACGTGACCTCTGGAATGACTGAAATCTAACACACGATCGTGCATCACGCGAATAACCTTCTCCTCCAGTGACTGGATCGAAACAAATGTCCAGGTCCATCTTTTTCCACAGTACGTCTCTGGAATCTCCCGCTTTGGCCTTAGAATCTTCATGATGAAAAAAAAACAATTTGTGTATCTCATTCAGGTTACCCAGGTCTTCTTCTTTCCGTCGTAACAACATTATCAGCTCTGTGGTCTCCTCGTTCAAGCTCACTTGAAGGTCTCAAGAGCCACCAGACCACCCCCAGGCTAGTGAACAAGATGTGTTTTTCGCCACTGAGCCTCAGTTGCACCCTTCTTTTTGAGCGGTGCACGGAAACAATCTCGCGTTCATTCTCAAGAAGCAAGCCCAGGCTTCTCTTTTTCTCTCTCTCTCTCTCTCTCTCTCTGGTGTGTCAATCTCGAAAATCTTCTCTGTACATAACTTCAGTAACTCCGTGTTTTCAAAGTTCAAGCATGCCGCATCTGCATCTGTACTCATGAAAAGATTAAAGGACATCCACATGACCCCAGAGATATATTGGTTCTCTCCCCATTTGGAGGATTTTGAGTTTTCTTCAGCCTCTATCATAGCGCGGTGCACGTCATGGCCACAGTCAAACTTCTTCTTTGAGAATCTCCTTATCTCGTCAATCTTCGCGTGGATCTCGAGAGATTGCCAAGAATCATTGTCCTTCTCAACTCCTGCGTTTGGGTACACAATCGGAATTTTGTTTGAGACTCTATTTTCCAATGCCCTGTTCCTTCTCACACTCTGGCTGTAAGTTTTGATCACTGCATCAGGTATCACCGACATGATCCATATCAAGAAAAATGTAGCATCTTTCCTTCTCGCTAGGCTCAGTCCAGAATCGTCTCGAGCAACATTCTGTTGGAAAAGTGCGCCTGCTGCTTACCCATCTGATCCATTATTCTAATCAGGGCTTTTTCTAATAAATCCTGTCATCGGCCAATAGAACTATCATTCCAGCTCTTCAAAAAGGCATTACTTGGCGCGGATTCCACTCGTTAATGAGTTTACCGACCATGAAATTATGTAAAACAGCCAATAGCACCGTAAAACGTAAATTTATCATTCGCCCGGAAAAGAAACCGACGGAAAATATAGCAAGGTTCTAAAACGACTGGCTAGCGTCTGATCAAAGCTTCACTTGCTTTTGATCGTTTCTACTACAGCCAGTTCAATGTGGTTCTGTTAATATCGGGTCGACAATATCATTGAAACATGAAGGCTATCGGCCGAACCGCTTAAATTAACCACGTCACATGCAAAACACTTTTTCATGGCTGGGTCTCAGTATCCCCAGACCACGAGGTCACTCCTAAAAACAAGGCTGCTACGTTATTATTGTTTTACGTTTGCTTTTGTCTAGTAGACAAAATCATCATATCATCGGAGATGGATCGACACTTGTCCTCAACTCCTAGCTTCTCATAATCTGAAAACGAATTTAGATGTCATTAATTCAGTTCAGCGCATCACCAGGAAGCTAAAAGTTTGTTAAAATAATGTTTGAGTTCTCTCGCGGAACCCTTCCGGATTCTGGAATCCGGAGAAAAAACGTCCTTATTTCTTTCCGGAAGGCTGGACACGTCGTCCCAACACCCTTTCTGGTTCTCGTGAATAGCTTTGTAACGATTGTAACTGCACAATTGTTACAACTCGCAATGGTTTTCCAACAATAACTTCAACTGCTAATTTGTATCGTTCAACTCGTCTGCTTCAACGAATATAGTTGTTCTCTCTGAAAAACTTGTTGTCGTTGTGTTTTGCAGTTTCAGTTGGTGCGAAATCTCAAGGTCGTGACGTGTCTTTATTTCGAAACAAATTTTTAAAAATTAACTTGAAACTCCAAATTAAACGAACGATAAAGACCTGTTATTGATTAAAACCATCAATCTTCTCGGTCAGATGCATCAATAAAAAATTTCGAATTTGAACTTGCATTTTGACACATTCTGGTCCGAAATTCACAAACGGAACGAATCATACTCGGACAGAAAATTTTATAAGATTCTGGTAAAAAAGCGAATAGCAATTTTTTCTAGAATATTCTGTCAGCTTTCCCGCAATTATATCTCCAATCTTGTGATGATGTTAACTTCTGATTTTCAGTTGTCGGGAGAAACTGGAGCAAGACATGGTCAATTTGAATTTTTGGAAAATTACTTTTGACCCCAAAATCAAGGTGAAACTTCCATATCAACTTACAAATATGAATAAATGTACAAAAATTCCTAATCAATAGAACGCAATACCAGCATCGCATCTAAATTAGCCAGGTGATGACAATGCAGAAAATAACCGAGCAGAAACTCGTTAAGATCACTTTTTTTAATTAAACTTATTTAAACAAAAAACTTAAGTCCACCTTCCCCTCATAACACACGCAGGCACACAAAATTTTTTTTGCGCATCCCATATAAAACAAGATTATACCCAGGAAGCCGAAATAGAAATGAAAAATTATGACACGTCAACAAGCTGAAATTTTGACAAGTCGAGAGGTAAAAACGCAACCAAGTTAAAAAGTGCGAAGGGGAGCGTAAAAATTGTGCTTCAGCCAAATAAGAGAAATAGGCTCAATATTTTTTATCAACGATTCTTTGATCTAGAGAACTGAACTCAGCTTTGCATTAGTTCGCTATTAGCTTTCTTGTCTTTTAGTGGGTCAGGATTTTTAAAATCGTGTTGACTTCGAAGAAGATTACCGTCTACTTTTTAATATACATGCTTTAATATTCATTGATTTTTACAATTTTTGCGTATGAAACTGTTTAATAAGTTTATTGCATGGCCTCAAGAGTCAGGGACATTACGTCTTGTGTTTTTGCACCTCATTCTGTTGGTGGCATTTCGGTTTGCTTAGCCCATGAAACTTCAAGATTGTGTTACATCTTAGAAGCTGCTACCAAAATAGCCCCACTCTAGGAATAAGCGAATAAGCACGTCCCCATTGCTAGCTCTCTAAATACATAAAACACGCGAATGCCGTTAGAAACAGTTTGAAAAACAAATTCCAATAGTTTTTATTGGACAGTTGACTTTTGATTCACGTCAGATGGATAAGCCTAAAAATCGCCTTATTTACTTCTGATAATGCGTTCTCCAGATGCCTCGAGCAGAGGCTCAATCTCCATCATCTTGGTATGGATCGAAACGGTATCGTCCACGGTTGTGCCGTTTTTAGTTACTGTACTGGCGTATTTTATTAATGCTAATAATATTATACTCCTCCCGGACCGTTTATTATCCGAAATAGGCGCTCAACTCGGAAATTCGCAACTCTGCGTAGAGTCACTACAGTGCAGTCACTGTCGAGACCCCACAGCTTGATATCTAACTTTCTGTACCAAAGGGATACAAAACTTGTTAACGATACCTAACAGTCGATTGTTGTTGTCCTTGAGACTCTTCCTGCTGCTCCTTGCACTCTGCTTGCCGTCTTTCGCTCTAACCCCGAGACCCTTCCGGATTGAGCGCAAATTACATAAACGTACTTGAAAACTCAAACAACTCTACAGTGCAGGCACCAGAAAAGGGCCACAAGTTCGATCGCAACGATCCTGCTTGATATAAATGCCTATAACAACACTATATCTAACAACAACACACATCTCTTCTGGGGGGATGATTTCTACTGATTTTATATATTTTTTCACTGTTCTTGGTTATTTTTTATGATTTTGGGTTTTTCTTAGGCACCATACTACTTTTTGTTTGGTTTCTAGTATACCTGATAGTGTTTTTGATCATATACCGCTCAACGATACGTGAATTTTTTGTCTTAAATAGGTTAAAAAACTAAATCCGGGAATCCGGAAGGCTTCCGCGTTCCGTACCACCCTTCCGTTCCACTTTGTAGACAAAATCATCATATCATCGGAGATGGATCGACACTTGTCCTCAACTCCTAGCTTCTCATAATCTGAAAACGAATTTAGATGTTATTAATTCAGTTCAGCGCATCACCAGGAAGCTAAAAGTTTGTTAAAATAATGTTTGAGTTCTCTCGCGGAACCCTTCCGGATTCTGGAATCCGGAGAAAAAACGTCCTTATTTCTTTCCGGAAGGCTGGACACGTCGTCCCAACACCCTTTCTGGTTCTCGTGAATAGCTTTGTAACGATTGTAACTGCACAATTGTTACAACTCGCAATGGTTTTCCAACAATAACTTCAACTGCTAATTTGTATCGTTCAACTCGTCTGCTTCAACGAATATAGTTGTTCTCTCTGAAAAACTTATTGTCGTTGTGTTTTGCAGTTTCAGTTGGTGCGAAATCTCAAGGTCGTGACGTGTCTTTATTTCGAAACAAATTTTTAAAAATTAACTTGAAACTCCAAATTAAACGAACGATAAAGACCTGTTATTGATTAAAACCATCAATCTTCTCGGTCAGATGCATCAATAAAAAATTTCGAATTTGAACTTGCATTTTGACACATTCTGGTCCGAAATTCACAAACGGAACGAATCATACTCGGACAGAAAATTTTATAAGATTCTGGTAAAAAAGCGAATAGCAATTTTTTCTAGAATATTCTGTCAGCTTTCCCGCAATTATATCTCCAATCTTGTGATGATGTTAACTTCTGATTTTCAGTTGTCGGGAGAAACTGGAGCAAGACATGGTCAATTTGAATTTTTGGAAAATTACTTTTGACCCCAAAATCAAGGTGAAACTTCCATATCAACTTACAAATATGAATAAATGTACAAAAATTCCTAATCAATAGAACGCAATACCAGCATCGCATCTAAATTAGCCAGGTGATGACAATGCAGAAAATAACCGAGCAGAAACTCGTTAAGATCACTTTTTTTAATTAAACTTATTTAAAAAAAAAACTTAAGTCCACCTTCCCCTCATAACACACGCAGGCACACAAATTTTTTTTGCGCATCCCATATAAAACAAGATTATACCCATGAAGCCGAAATAGAAATGAAAAATTATGACACGTCAACAAGCTGAAATTTTGACAAGTCGAGAGGTAAAAACGCAACCAAGTTAAAAAGTGCGAAGGGGAGCGTAAAAATTGTGCTTCAGCCAAATAAGAGAAATAGGCTCTATAACCATGGCCTCAAGAGTCAGGGACATTACGTCTTGTGTTTTTGCACCTCATTCTGTTGGTGGCATTTCGGTTTGCTTAGCCCATGAAACTTCAAGATTGTGTTACATCTTAGAAGCTGCTACCAAAATAGCCCCACTCTAGGAATAAGCGAATAAGCACGTCCCCATTGCTAGCTCTCTAAATACATAAAACACGCGAACGCCGTTAGAAACAGTTTGAAAAACAAATTCCAATAGTTTTTATTGGACAGTTGACTTTTGATTCACGTCAGATGGATAAGCCTAAAAATCGCCTTATTTACTTCTGATAATGCGTTCTCCAGATGCCTCGAGCAGAGGCTCAATCTCCATCATCTTGGTATGGATCGAAACGGTATCGTCCACGGTTGTGCCGTTTTTAGTTACTGTACTGGCGTATTTTATTAATGCTAATAATATTATACTCCTCCCGGACCGTTTATTATCCGAAATAGGCGCTCAACTCGGAAATTCGCAACTCTGCGTAGAGTCACTACAGTGCAGTCACTGTCGAGACCCCACAGCTTGATATCTAACTTTCTGTACCAAAGGGATACAAAACTTGTTAACGATACCTAACAGTCGATTGTTGTTGTCCTTGAGACTCTTCCTGCTGCTCCTTGCACTCTGCTTGCCGGATCAGTCTTTCGCTCTAACCCCGAGACCCTTCCGGATTGAGCGCAAATTACATAAACGTACTTGAAAACTCAAACAACTCTACAGTGCAGGCACCAGAAAAGGGCCACAAGTTCGATCGCAACGATCCTGCTTGATATAAATGCCTATAACAACACTATATCTAACAACAACACACATCTCTTCTGGGGGGATGATTTCTACTGATTTTATATATTTTTTCACTGTTCTTGGTTATTTTTTATGATTTTGGTTTTTTCTTAGGCACCATACTACTTTTTGTTTGGTTTCTAGTATACCTGATAGTGTTTTTGATCATATACCGCTCAACGATACGTGAATTTTTTGTCTTAAATAGGTTAAAAAACTAAATCCGGGAATCCGGAAGGCTTCCGCGTTCCGTACCACCCTTCCGTTCCACTTTGTAGATAAAATCATTAAATAATCGGAGATAGATCGACACTTGTCCTCAACTCGTTTTTTCTCATAGTCTAAAATGAATCTGATGCTATTCGAATTCAATTCACGATGTTCCGAGAAGCTAAAAATTATTTAAATTGCAGTTTAAGTTATTCTTCGAAAGCCCTCTTGCTTCCTGACTCCGCGTGAATAAACGTCTTCTTCACGTTCAGAAAATGTGTTAAGTTCTCCGATTTGACCTAGAATCTCTGGGTTTGGATTTGTACTAGTCTTTGTTTTTGTCTTGTTAGTTTTATTTAGCGGCAAGTCACCTGGGCAGTAACCAGTAACTGGCATTTCGTTTTTTTAATATGCCCTGATATTCTATTAGGTTAAGCGCATACATATTAGAACATTAAGACAAATGGCAAAAGACGAGGAGCCAAGTGAAAACGAGAGACAAGAAAAAAAGACTAATACCAATCAAAACAAGGAGAATCGATAGAAAAAACATGATTATAAACTACTTGGGATTGAATCTTAAACTGATTTTTCTAAGCAGTGGTTGCCTTAAGAAATTCAGACTAATCCGTATCGGCAGTCAAGCACCCCTTCGGATCGGCAAAAATGATCCTTCCGGATTGGTACCCTTCCGTGAAGACCAAACTCTGACCCTTTCGGATTAGCAAATTAGAATCCTTCCGAGTTGCCAAAGTTAGGACCCTTTCAGATTGACAAAAACGGGACCTTTCCGGATTGGCAAAAAAGGGACCTTTCCGGATTGGCAAAAATTGGATGCTTCCAGATTGGCAGTTAAAGTACCCTTCCGAATTAACATACTAGAAAACTTCCGAATTTGCAAAATTAGGATCCATTGAGATTGGCATAAACGGGATCCTTCCGGATTGGCAAAGTTAGGACCCTCCCGGATTCACAAAAACAGGACCCTTCAGAATTGACAAAAATAGGACCCTTCCGTATTGGCGAAAGTTGGACCCTTCCAAATTGGCGGTAAAAGAACCCTTCCGGATTAACATACTAGAAAACTTCCGAATTTGCAAAATTAGGATCCATTGAGATTGGCATAAACGGGACCCTTCCGGATTGGCAAAGTTAGGATTCTTCCGGATTTGCAAAATTAGGACTCTTCAGGATTGGCAAATATAGGACCCTTCTGAAATGGCAAAAACGGGAATTTTCAGGATTGGTGAAAACAGGACCCTTTCAAACTGGCAAAAACAACACCCTTCCGGATAGGCAAAATATGATCCTTCTGGATTGAAAAAAATTGGACCCTTCCGGATTGGAAGAATTATGACTTTTCCGGTTTGGGAAAATTAATAACTTCCGGATTATGATCCTTCCGGATACAGTCCTAGAGTTCAAATATGCAAGACAGGAAAGGTCGTATTGAATTTAGAGCCCTCCTAATTGAAGCTGAGCTGCTTATTTTACAGTTTCCTTCAACTGGCAAGGGTGTATCAACGATACTTTTTTTGACTTGTTAGCTGTTTTCAATGTTCACTATCATTTCCCTATCGTCGAGAACAATGTGAAAAAGCATTATTGAACCGTTACTACCGTTTGGTGGGGGTATGAGGGCTTTCCAAAAAAAAAATACAAAACTAGAAGGGTTTACCTTCAAACACGACGGTCTTGCT